ATCACAACTGAGTTGAGCTTATTTCATTAATACAAGGTTGATATAACAATAAAATATAAATATAATTTGACATTTTAATAAAGGAGAAATATAGTGGTATGTTTCAATAGATATGGTAAAAGCATGTAATAAAATCTAATATCCATTCATGGTACAAGCTTTTAATGAACCATAAACAGAAGGAAATATTCTTAATCTGACAAAGATTACCTATAAATTGCCTGCCATAAACCTAATTCTTGGTTTCATACCGAAAAAGCTTTCTTTGAGGTTGGGGCAAGTATATTTACTGTCCAGATGTATTCTACTTTTCACTGAAAGTTCTGTCCAGTGGCATGACTACAGAAAACAAAGACAATAGTATTAAAAGGTCAGAAATAAAATTTTCATTTGTTGTGAATTTTATATATTTATACATTTTAAAAAATTTACAGATATTTTAAAATTGACAGGTATTGATTTACACTCCTAGTACAATATTTCCCATTTCTCTATATCCTCACTGCACTAGGCATTTGGTCTTTTTAATAGTAAACATTCTGGAAGTGATGTAGTTTTAAATTGCTACCTCCTAATTATTAGTAATAAGACTGAACACATTTTCCTATGTGTACTAGTCAGTTTTCCTGTCCCTGGGACAAAATATCTGACACTCATGATTTAAAGGAGGAGAAGTTTTTGTTGGCTTATGGTTTCAGAGGGTTCAGTCAATGGTTATATGGCTTCAGTTAAAAGTGGTATGGCAAAAAGCCCTTTTATGACAGCCAGGAAGCAGAGAAAGAAGGAAGAGCAAAACAGAGAAATATACCCTCCAAAGGCACACTGCAGGGGACCTACCTCCTAACAGCACATTCAGCTATGAACTCATCAGCAGAGTAATGTAAGGATGAATATAGTGCCTCCATGTTCTAATCACCTTCTAAAATTCCACTGGTCAACATATGAGATGTTCATGGGATATTTTAGGTCTGAAACAAAACAATATACTGAGTAACATTTGGATATCCTATTTAATGACGTGTCTACATTTTCTGAGCAATTTTTGAAAGTTGTTAATGTTAGGAAGGAGCACTCCTACATTATCTTCTAGTAGCTTTTTAGTTGTTTCTCACACTTAGATAGTGTCATTCATTTATGGTTTATGTACTTTTCTGGATATATACCACATTTAATATTGAAAAGATCTATAAAAGAAGCACATTTTAATTCTGTTGTATATATATCACCATAACTGACTTCACATTTGCAACTGAAATAAAAAATTATAATTGTACCTCCTATGTGCAGTGTGTACTGATACGTTCTCTATTTACTTGATTTTCTCCTATTCCATATAATTCCAACTTTTTTAGGTGCTAGCCATAAACCAATACAATGACTGAATAATTCAGTTTGAAAAACTCTAATCCAAACAATCAAAAATCTCTTAGGACTCCTGTCTAGTGATTGGGAATTTTAAGTTGGGATCAGAACTAACTATCCCTCTATAGAAGAATTTCTCTATGTCAGCACTACTGATATGCTGGCTTGGGTAACTCTTTGTTGGGGACAGAGTTCCTGTACATTGTAGGACCTTTAACAGTGTCTCTGTCCTCTACCTGTTCCATCCTGTGATACCCTCCTGGACCCTCCCATTCTACCAATTAAATTTTTCCACAGACATTTGCCTAGAAGATGAAATCAACTCCATTGAGAATAATTGCTTCAGAAGGCCTTCAATTTTCTAAAGTAGGCCATGTCTTCATGAAGAATCTTTAAATTAACATGTCCCAAAACAATCAGAATAACTTGGTTAGTCTGCCTGAAATATAGGTGACCATAGCCATAGCAATCTGGCTTTTTAACAGGGACACCATTCTGATTTAGATGTTTCTGAAGATCACATTTTGGGAAAATTTGCCCTAAAATAATTTCAGTCTTGAACGGAAACCTCCTCGGAGCTATTAAGATGCTTCACATATATTTGGTTTCAGGGGACAGGTGAATGCGTTGAGAAGATAGCAAATATTTACTGGGTGAGAAATCATGTGAAACATCCAACAGTGCTTTATGGAGCAAATCTAGTACAATCACTAGTGAAATCACAGCAGTAATGTTTTCCCTTTGTGTCACTGTTCTGGGTCATTGTTGAGTCTGGGAAGGGAGGTTTGGAGACCTGTAGAAGCTGAGCCTGACCTTGATGAGCCTCTGATCTTCCTGAAGCTCACATTTAAGAATGAAACAGAATCCCCAGTAAAGACACTGCCATCTCTTTATTACCTCATGCTTGATAGAGAAGCTGAAATGCCTCCCCATACTTCAGAACTTTTTTTTCCTTCCCAGTTAATTGTTCTTCCTAAATTGAATGATCTATTTTTGGAACTAAAAGCAATGCAGTGTGGAGAAAGGAACTGACAAAGCCCAAGGCAGAGAAGGGAGGCAGACAGAAGAAATTTAAGAAGGAGAAGGGGAGACTATGTGTATCTATCTTCCTTATAACAACTACATAAAGTGAAAACTAAAGACAGAGTAGGTGGGAAAACTAAGGTCAGAGTTCATGAGAGCGAGTGGGCAAGGCATTAGGGCAGGAGATTTTGCTAACACAACAGTTGACACATGAAATAAAAAACATGTGAAATTCTAGAAATAGCTGTGACCTGGAAGCTTAGGTCCTACAATCAATCCACCAGTCTTTCCTTTAGAACTTTGTAAACAGTCCCTGGGTTCATATCACTGAATCAGAAGGTAAGAAAAATCTACATCTTTACTATATCACTTAGAATCAGTTTGTCTGAAAAGCATCAAGGTTTTGGTTCTGACAATATGGGCCATCTCATGTATGTATTTCTGGGACTATTTAGCAGGACTTCTCATATGAGCCCAGATGTGTATATATTTTCTGAACTCAGAAGTATAATTAATGCCCATCTTAGCCAGGTTCATAGCTATTCCCAAAAATATATTCAAAAAGAGTCAGCAAACATTGTACCATACACTAGTGTGGATATTGGCTTCCTACAGTTTGCTGCTTCTATAAAGAATGTTTGCTTTGTTAACTCCAGTGAGCTCCTCTGATCCACCTTCAGATTTAATACCATGCTCAAAGCTTTGGAGCCTGCCTATGCTAGCCATTTCTGTTGCTCCTGTTCTCCAGATATTTCAACTGCAGTCACATTTTGGAAAGACTCTCTTATGTACTTTTAAATGCTTAGCAAAACTACAAAGTAGAACACACATCATTTTCTTCAAAACATATAAACGTTTTGACCTACAAAGAAGACTGTACCAAAGACAGCCAGCTTCACTTTAAAATACATATGAAAGCAGAGACCTTTCAAGCTCCCATAAGATCGTGCAGTTCTTTTCACCCATCACTAGATATTTTAACAATACAGGTAGTTCACTGCTGAAATGATGCAACCAAGGAAAGGAAAAGGCTTCCATAACTGGATACCCTTGACTTCCACTGCCAAGATGTGTCAGGCAAGGAGCTCCTGGACTGTCCCTGGCATCCCTGCCTCCTATTGCTCTGATATTTGGGTCTTGCATGAAGTGGACAGCAGGCCCATGTTTTTCTGTGTGCTTGGGCACTTGGTCCTATGCACTCTGAAAGTACATTCAATGTTAGCGGGTAGAGAATAGGGTATGGGAAAAAGAGAAAGGAGAGATTCTGGGAATTATAGCATTCAACCAAATAAGCTATGCACATCCCTGATACTAGGTTCTAACAGAAATATTGTATGACTACAAGATCATTACTGTGTCAATAATCATCCTGATTAGACAAACCTTTTGTAGGGAAGGGGATCCTCAATAGTATCTACGAAACTTAAACTTTGGTAAACAGAAATACAATTCTTTATTGTTCTTGTAAAGAATGTGAATGTTAGCTGGGTATGGTGATACATGCCTGGACTCTCAGCACTCTGGCTGAGTAAGGCAGGAGGATCACAAGTTCAAGTCCTCCTTGGGGAACCTTCTGCCCTGATGTTTCTGCCTTGGAGCTAGCTGGAAATGAACTGCATTCTCTGAAACCATGAGCCAAAATGAACCTCTGTGCCTGGAATTGCGGGTGTCAGTGATTAATGCAATAAAGAATATTAGAGGTTTGGGATTAGGGTATTGGAAGTGAGGTTGGTGGCCTGTTGGAGTTGTAAAATAGAATGTATTTTTAGAATTGCTTGAACACATTCTATTTTGAGCTCGTTTTCTAATGAGTCTTATAGGAGTAATAAATAGGAGCATTTTTCATTGTTCAGATATAGGTTAGGTGGTATAAAGTTATTATTTCTGTAACATATTGTGATTTTTTTCATCATAGGAGTGATGTTTCTGTCATTAAGATGACCAAATCAGCACTAATTGAATAATCAACTTTATCCTGTTTTGAGTCTATATACGGTTCTGGTACCTGCAGTCCTAGGTTTCTGCTGTTTTTATTTTAGATGGAGGAAATATCTGTAGTAAACCTTCCTTTGGGCCTATATTTATTTCAAAATTTGGCCTAAGGGATTCCCTAGATTAGTCTTTCTAAGGGTGATCAGAAGATCAAAATGGAGTCTTCATTTATTGAAGTTGTATCTATGCACTGAATATATATTGAACAACCTTATATGTATAAGTCACTTTGCTGCTGCTGAGAACACAGTTTTCAATAAGGTAGATCCAGTCTCCACCCTCATGGATACACTCTAGAGGGAGAGGTGTATACTAAACAAATAATTCTATGATTTTTTTGTTTTGAAAAAAGTATAAGAGAGATATACTGAGTTGCTTTGTAAACATAAAAGTAAGATGTTTGATCTACTCTGAGAAGGTTCAAAGAAACTTCCTTGAAAAAGTAAGGTTGAGTTTGTTTTTGCTTTTGTTTTGCAGTATTGGGGATTGAGCAAGCCCTCACACATGCTAGGCAAGTCCTCTACCACTGAGCTTTATTCTGGGCCATTTAATTTTGTATCGGGAGATAGGGTCTTACTTATTTGCTTAGGCTAGTCTCAAACTTACTATCCTTCTGTCTCAAGTTCCCCAGTAGCTGGGATTACAAGCATGCACCACTGAGCCCGGCTTTGCAGGACAAACCAGAGTTAATCAGATGAAAAGCAAGGAGGCAAGATGATTCTAAGTAGGAGCAGCATCTGCATGAGCCCAGAGGATGGTAGCAAGAGTTTGGAAGGTAAGTGCTGCTGGAGTGCAGAGGAAAGAGAGGATGAACACGAAATTGAGGAGAAAAAGGCAAAAGCAGCCCAGATAAGGGCTCAAGGCCATAGTAAGGAATTTGATCTTTTTCCCAAAATAGTGAGAATACATAAAAAAGAGTGGCATGACCAAAACAAGTTTTTGTTGTTGTTATTTTGGTGGTACTACTGGGATTTGAATCCAGGACTTTTGCAGTAGGCTAATCTGAGCCTGTTTTCATTTTTAAATTTTGAGACTGTGGTCTCCCTAAATTGCTGTGATGCCCAGGCAGAACTCAGACTTGTTATCATCCTTGCTCAGGCTCCTCCGTAGTTAAAAATTGTATTTTTGAAAGCACCAACCACCATGTGGAGAAAGCCCTGAAGGTGAAGCAGAAAGATTTTCAATATAGTACAACCAATTTATAGCTCACTTTTGTGGGGTTAGAAGTCTCATGATATAGCAAGGTAAAGATGGATGGAAATTGAAAGAGCTGGGAAATTTGTAGGTGGGGAGAACAAAAATATTGAGAGATCCTGGGTGGCCCTGGAGTTAAAAAAGAGTGGTTGAGTGGTTGCAATCTTAAGCATGAGCTAGACTTTCAGTCATTCTAGTACAAGATATTGTTCCCTGCAGAAGCGCCAAGATGGGAGGGAAAAGGGGCACTATGTGTTCAGTTCTAAATTATAAGATTCATGCAGTTTTAGCAGCAATGCTTTGTAAGTGATTAACAGCAGTCCAAAAATTAAAGAAAAGGAAACAAAACAAAATACAGTTGAGTTTGGGGAGATTTGCCAATTTCCATGGTGTAAATACTCTACTTGTGAAGAGTGGCAGAGAGTGGGCTCTTGTGAGACAACATGTTCACCCACATACTTGGAGATGTGTGACAGGAAATGTAACAGGATGGCTGGATGTGTAGTTGGATATATAAGTACTGGGATTAATGGAGTGGTCCAGGCTGTGGTTTGACACTGATGGATGACTGATCACCATATGGATAAGAAGTGCGGTAGGTAAGAAGAAGAGACAACTGCAGACTGAGACTTCAGAAATTAAGATTTCAGAATTCATTAAGGAGAGATCACAAAGGCAGGGTGGTTCTCAGAAGTTGAACTGTCCGTTCAGCCATGCATAAAAGGAAAGAGTTTTGGGAAACAGTATTCATTCGACAGAAAATGTTGCCGATAGGTCAAATAAGATGGAGACTGAAAAGTTTCATTACATTTAGTGACAGAAATGGTCAGATGCCATAACGACAGCACGTCTGATAGGACTGGTGAGCAGCCTTGATGGTTCGAAAAGTAAAGTCGAAAAAGATGCAGACAGTGAGTGAAGAAAGTCTTTCAAGGTATTTGACTAGGACAGTGAAGCAATATGGAACCCGAAACTATTAGCTTGAGGGTGAGGGCTGGAAATTTGATTTCTGTCATTCTGATTGTGCTTTTGTTCTTAAATAAGAGAAATCAGCATGCTAAATGCTGATGTCAAGGAAAGCAGGGATACCACAGTGCAAAATTCCCTCTTCTTTCAGAAACTTGGTACTTCTGAATCTCCTATGAATAGCATGCCTCCTGAAAGCCTTTCCTGGCATTGCCATAGCTGTACACATTTTACATCAGATAAATACACAGCTATGGCTCTTTCCTGTGGGGCTTTCCTTGATACTCCATCACCCCCCAGTCTCTCCTACATTTCAATCCTAAATTCTAAGCAACAAATAGAATTTAAGTTGGTATGCCAGAATAATGGAGAAAGAAATTAATAGTCTAGGGGCTATAGATGTAGCCTTTAATTCTGAAATTTCTTTCTAGGGAAAGGGAGAAGGGAAGTAAAAGGGAAAGGGAGAGGGGGAGAGAGAGAGAGAGAAGAGAACAAGAGAAGAAAGAGAGAAGGAGAGGAGAGGAAAGAAGAAGGAAAAGGAGGGGAGAAGGGAGGGAAGAGGAGGAGACGGGCATGGTTACTCCTTTGTTCGCACACATTCCTTTTTGTAGGTGGCTACTTTTCCTGGCCTCAGGCACCCCCTCATGAATGGCTATTCCTTTTATTTAAGTTACCTTTAGATAGATGCCATTCTGTGAAATTAAACAATCCTTGACAGGTGACATCAAGAATTAGGACTGCATCGATCATTCTGAGCTGATGAGTCTTTTGGGTTGTGGCTGAGGGATAACACAAGATCAAGTAGAGCTGACCCCCAAAGTGAAGGGGAAATTGGAATCCACATATCAGGCCAAAAATCAGGATATAAGAATTTAGCAAGTATGAGAGATGTCAGAGAGGCATCCTCTGGATAAACAGGCCATTTCAAGCTGAAAACCTTACTGTGCCAGGCCAAAATTCATGGCTTCATTTTCAGATTTTTGCTTCCCCCTATCTTTAAGCCTGTTCAGGGGTCTAGAGTAAGTAAAACTAAGGCAGAAAAACATGAAATAACATGTCAAAATTGCAGGCCTCCCTTCCTCTAGTGTTTTTTGTTCCTCCCATCTGTGTGACTTCCTGCCCGCCCCCTTCCTCCTGCACTATAATGTGGCCCCTTACAGGGTCAGCTTCTTTCCCTCTCATTCTCATCTCACATTCTTTACTTTTGTAGTCTCAGATGATTCAGTCGCTTCCACGGTGCCCTCTGTCTGTGTCTTCAGCCTTCATCTCCACCCGAAACATGGGACCAACCCTATAACAACTTCTGGGGACATCTCTACTTGGATGTTCTAATGCACTTTTCAGAGTCACTAAATCATAAATGGGTAAGTGGGCACTCTGGGGAGTCCAGACAATGTGCATTTGAACTGAGACCTACTCCTTGTTAGCACTGTCACCTTGAGAAAGTTATTTACTTCCAACAGCCTCAGTTTTCTCATCTGTGACAGGAGGATGATAAGCATGCCTGTGTCATGACATCGGGGGGAGATAGCAGAGAGAAGCATTGGAGCAAAGAGTCGGTACACCGCCTGGTGTATTGTATACATTTGCTTCCTAAAATCACATGTTATGCGATTGTTATTATCATCTATATTTTTGTTATGGAATGTGCTCTTCCGTAGATTCTCTTGATTACTTCTCCACCCTTTGAAAAGTTAGGTGAACACTGAGGTCAGATGTTCTAACTCTGCCACCAATGGCTCTGTGAATTTGAGCAAATCGACTAGTCTTCAGAAATCAAATTGTATCTTGAGCATGTTAGATTGTGTGAGATGAATTTTCAGGACTTTCTTTGGTCAAAACAATATATGGTATTATCTTTCTTAAATACTTTGCTTTATTTTCTAAAACCATTTAGATTCTATTCTTGTTGACTCCATCCCCACAATCTCTCTCATACCCAACTTTCCTCTCTCTTTCCCTTTGTATTCTCCCCCAGGTCTTTATTATTATTTCTATTATTATTGTTATTATTATTATTATTGAGACACAGTCTTGCTAATTTGCTAAATTGTCCAGGTTGGGCTCGAACTTGTTGAATATGTGCCGCCAAAGCAAGCACAGGGCTTGAACTTTTGATCCTCCTGCCTCAGTCTCCCAGAGTCCTGGGATTAAAAGTATGCACTATCACACATGGCTTCATACCTCACCCTTTTTTTTTTTCTATTTTAAAAATAAAAGGAGGAAACCATTAACAGGCAGACAACCTTTTACAAAATAGCAAAAGAACAGTACAGACAATACAAGAGTTACAATCAAAGTGGTAGGAAGTTAACAATGCTTGTTGTATTGCATATTGATATCTTCAAAGTGGTTTCTCATGAAAACAGATAGAGACATGCAATCTTGATCAATCAAGGACTCATTGACAGTTTCTTTCAGCAAAGAAAGACAGTAGAACAACTATGTTAATTATCCTGTACATACATACATACAAAATTTCTCCTTTTTTCCCTTCTCTTTTCCCCCATCTCATTTCCCCTTTACCCTTGAGTGTTTTCCTATCATTTCACAATGTCTATCATACCTCCGAGTTTAAATGAACTCCTTCAGGTTTTACACTAATGAGACAATGCGGTGCTTACACATGCATGTCTGATTTATTTCACTTATGAGTATGGTCTCTAGTTGTGACCATTTACCTATAAAGGCCTCGAGTTTATC